TAAAACATTTCCGGGCCTGAACAGAAAGAATAAAGGTCGGATTAAATCAAATATAGTCAAAAGAAAGAGTCACAGAGCAGCAGGATAACCATGGCAAGATTGTTTGCACGGTTCCATACATAGGATGCGACAAGGTTGCAATGTTACATAAGAGAAAGTAAGATGTGTTACTAATATTACATTTAACATCTTCCCAACAGGATTATGAACTAACCACTAACCAAAAATCAGCTAATTTTGAGCAAGAACTATCATGAGTTGCGTTGAGCTTCTTATTGCCTTACTTTCTTCTCCTCTTCATGCCCTTTGGAGTCCAATGTGCTTTGCTATGTACCATTTTTTCTAGAAATAGTGTTATAATTGTATTGATGAATAGTGTGTGCATCAATAATGTTCCTGGGATCCATATTATAACTCAAAATGTAGAAACAAATGGCGAATAACAAAAATCCATTTGGAACAATTAGAGACTGTCACTTATGACATGATCTATACCCTATGATTATTGCAGCTCTATGTAGACTTGGAAAAATGTTTTCCTTCTATGATGTTCCTCCAAGGGTGCTTTTGATTGCTAATATTTTTGGTGGAAAATGTGTTTTTTCCATCTAATTTCTATTTTTGTACCCTTTTTTTCACGAAAATGTTTGCCTACTTTTAATCACGTGACCATATTTTCCTTGAAAATAAGTAAAATATACTCATTAGGGAAATGTGGTTTTTATTTTCCATGTAACTCTCTCTCTCTCTCTCTCTCTCTCTCACACACACACACACACACACACATTTATCCTCACTCTCTCATCTACCCACCACTAAAAACTTGCCAATGATAATATTTTCTAGGTTGAAAACTAAATCAATCAAATACATTAAATTAATAATTTCTATATAAATAAGTGCTAAACAATTGAATTGCCTACAATTTATTTTCTTTCCATACAAGTTTCATGCTCACAATCAAACGCACCCTAATATCATGGAATAGCTTCATGCCTTACTTTTTGCTTCTAAACAAGTAGATTATAGGTGAGTTTCTCGTTAAAAATTCAAGAAACCAGCTCTAAATTTCGAGAAACAAACACTGATAATTTATCTTAATGTCAACGCTAACATTCAAAAAAATGAAAAAGTGAGTTTGCTCCCATCTTGCAAATGTTCTCATTTAATTTCTTTTTCCTTATATCAATACTCAAATAAAATGCAATTATATCCAATAACAATACGGCTGATATGCTTAATATCTTTAGTTCGATGTGTATTTGTCCTAATTCTGCCCTTTATTTGAGTAGTTTTTCTTTGACAAATTGCCCTTTCGAGAAGAGGTTTCATCACAATCTTAAACCTCTTTTATCAACATAACATTTTCATTTATTCATTCACATGAAGTATTTTAAATTTCAAGAAAAGATAATCAACTTGTAATATAGGGGGAAAAAAAAGATGCGAAACACTCTAAACAAATTCATATCCTAGTGAGAAACCATCAACGCAACTTGAAAGACAACAAAGTTCCAACCTTCTAGCCACACATTTAAACTGCTTCACATACATACAATTCTGCAATTGAATTTCGACACGAATCAGAATCATAAAGAAGAAAGAAAAATGAGCCATTCGAGGAAAATGATACGCGACAACGAATAAATCGATGGATGAACTGATACAATAAATGGTGGGTAACTAACAGACTTGATATTTTGGCCTTTCCATAGCAAAAATCAATGTTACCAAAACAGATTAACAAAGGGAAATGGAACAAAACATCTTATCGTAGAATCAAACAAAAGCCATTAAAATGTAAAACAAAAAATCGAAAGCTTCTTCACTTTGTCGAGGATTATTCAAAAAAAAAAAGGAATTCTTAATTTCGTAAATTTTACCTCTGGGATTTGGGAAGTAAACCCAGGTGCCCAAAACATGTACAGCAGCATGCAATGCCATAGCCATCAGCTAAAAGAGTCGTTCTTTTTCTACGGAGTAAAGATGCAAGAGCTAAATAGTATTGTTCAAAGGAATATTCTAACACAAAATGCCAGCCAAAAACCCCTCTGTCTCTCTTTAATACTCTGCCCCTGTCTGTAACTGATGAACTTTTGTTTGTTCGTGGGTGGGGTGGGGTGGGGTGGGGTGGAACACGAATCACGAGGAAGAAGAAGGCTGTGCACAGAGTATAGGTTAAGGGAAAAGGGTAAAACTTAAAACTGGTGTAACCACTGAAATTCTTTAAAAATGCCCTGTTTTGGCTCCTTTCGTGAGCTTGCACTTGCAGGTGTCACGTTGAAAAGTTGAAAAATCTCACTTTTTTTTTTCTCATATTGAGGAGATTGACATGAATACCACTAAAAATTAGCTATATAACATTTGTATCTCTCTTATTTAAACTTTCCGTTTTTAATATTTAGGCACCGTTTGGTAACCATTATTCTAGAAAAAAATGCATTCTTTGTGTCAAATCACACCTTTTTTGTGGTTGAAAATGAAGGAAAAGTTATTGATGTGATGGAAAATATTATTTTATTGATGAATGTGTGGTTGAAAATTAGTAGAAGAATGAGAATGACAAAAAAAATGGATACCAAACAGAGGCTTACTTTTTTGCATCTCCCTTGACCCTTCTCGAGCATGGCCATATGACCTATATTCTTTCAAAACTCATTTTCAAATATATATTCTTTAATAAAATACATTATTTTCTCAATAATATTCATCAAACACATCCTTAACTATTTCTGGTCAAATATACTTTTTAATTCTTGCATTCGTAGGATTCACAATTACTATTTTATTATTCTCGCATCTCAGAACTCACAATTTATAATCATTTAAACTTTAATTTATCATTTACCAAACATGCACTAAGTGATTATTTGAGTCTTATAAATTGTGTATGTTTGATCATTTTAAATATATTTTAAGCTTCGCCAAACATGATGGATGCTACAACTCTGAAATGAAGTGAAACCTGTTTTTACTTTTTCTTATCGCTGTTGGAGAGTTACCGTTCTATGATAATTAACCTTTTTTGTTATTTTTTTCCCTCTCATGCTCCATCTTTTCAAAAACAATCCGTCATGGACAGGGGCACAAAGGCAAACATGAACAAGAAGATAACAAACGACTGAGTCACTGATTCCTCACCTAATATTCAAACTCAACGTGCTAACCTCAATTTGCTCTTTCTCATCCTCCAGTCCACTCAAATATATGGAAAGAGAGAGAACTTAACCATCTACATGGGCATTGAATTATTAGGTGCTCACAGAAAGGAATCCATCATTATTGGCAATGGAGGAGTCCCAGAATTCTGAGGCAGCGAACATCCCTCGAAGAAGTAGAAAAGGGAAGTTCTGAACCTGAACAAGATGAAGAAACTGGAGAATGCAACTCGGTTCTTGAAACCAGGCCTTCTCTTGACTCGGCTGTTAAGGCTTTTGTTGACGAATTCACTCAAGGAGACTTGGTGAAGAATATAGCAGATTCTTCTTACAGTGCTCAAGTGGAAGAAGTTGAGAAAATGTTACTCGTCTCTGATCCATGGGCTTCTTTGACAAATTCGAGGGATTCCTCTGTTGGAAAAGATGCAATTTATCAAGAATCTGAGCAAAAGAAAGATGGGTTTCTGATACTCTGATTGATTCACCATTGGAGGGAACTTAGGAAACCATATTGCCAACATCAGATGAAATTGTGACGGAAAATGATGCCAGTTCGTTACTGCCAGCAGACATCAGCAGCAGGATCATCGAAAATCAGGTACTGAATTCGTTTAGTTAACCACTGATGGCATATTCAATAAAGAGGATTGAATAGAACTAGACAATATTATGAGAAAAACAAGTTAAAATCATGGTCCATCAGATACTGAACAGATTATTTTGCCTTGGAACATAATTACTGATTTTTTCATGAATGCTGCAATAATCAACTAACTACTCCGTCTAATAACACATTTACCAGCCATTTGTTGCTGCAACTCCACAAATCCGAGCTTCTTGGATGAGCTGCTGCGGTTTGCTTGATGTTCTCAAAGGTTCAGGACAGTGATTACAAGCACCTATGGCTACGCCAGTCTTCAACAAAACCTTCCACGTTCGCTTTCAATATCACTTCATCACTTCCTCACAGGCTCACAAACAACTAAAGACAACGAATTACAAGAACCATGTTCCATAATTCCTTTTTCTTCCTCAGAATTTCACACATGCTTCTCAGTAAATTTTGGCATGATTATGTGAATAACAGCGATCTTCAAATCATCAAATGAAAGAAGTCATGACAGTACTAAGACAATTGTATATGACAGAATAACATATCATTTGATAAGATCATCCACATACAGTTCAGTCAAAAATGTTCTTCTTTTTGACATTTTCTGTTCTTGCATTGCAGAACGTAGAAGTGCTTGAAAGGAGTAAACCGCTAAATTATGAATAGAGTTAGGATTTTGAAAAGATTGCTATCGGTTGTTTATCATCACAATAAGGCATAGTACTTGCTATATCATTTTCTTTGTTTGGGATATTGTGTTCAATTAAAGAAAGTCAAGATTTTTCTCTCCTTTCTTGCAACGTAGAGAAGCTGTGGACCTGTGGTGGTATTTTCATGTCTCTCCGTCTTTTAAATGATGAACTGTCTTTTGGTATCAGCGTGTTAAGTTCCTACTTTAGAAAAACGAAAGTTATTTGTCTGCCTCAGGTTACTGGGATTTAGCTCAAACACAAATAATTTCTTGATTCAACTAGTATGGCTATCCTAATCTTAGATAATTCTTCAAAATTCTGATGAAAAGGCAGGATTACAATAACATCCGAAAGCTTAATTGAAGAGATAGAAAGCTGCTTTATATAGAACTAATACTTCTTTGATCGCAGCAGATCATTGCAATAACTAAATCAAGATGTATTCAAACAGACTGCGTGGAGTATCAATTGAAATGGATTACTGTTGCCTCAACTCTCTCTATACTGGACGATTAGTCTCACAAAATGCAACAAACATTAATCATCCACGTTGGATACGCACAATTCTCCACTAATTTGAAACAGAGTATCCATCATATGATCAGACTGCAACCAGACAAGAAAATAACTTTATTCAATGGCTTCAAGAAAATAATTGGGGGCAGGATTTCAAGCTACAGAATAAAGAGACAAATGCACATCCAATCATCAAAACATGAACACCTCAAGGCTTATAGCAAAAGTGTGTCAATGATGCATGGATTAAACATATAGAACAGCTGATAGAACTATGTTTCAATACCGGAAAATAAAAGGAGTAATGAGAATCAGAAAAACGACGAAAAGTTAGCCATCAAGCTCATCAGCAAATAAAATACCATGAAAAATACCATAGACAAAAAGGAAAATCGAACTCCCTTCATCAGGAGTCAAAAGCAAGTCATAACAATCAGTATTATTATGCATGAGATATGTCACCTGACTCACTAATTTGGAGAATGTGTCAATAATGCCTGACAAAGTTCAACATGATGGTCCAAACAATTTTTTCCTCTTTCATAAAAGCAAGGATGGACCTCATAACACAACACAGATAAATCAGACTAATCATATCATGATGATGTAGAAAAAAAACAGTACTGTGAATTCCTTAGAAACATATCCAAATTTCATGTAGTGAGCAGTCCAAACTCAAAAATCATTCCCTGCATATTTGAATTCATAATATCCAAATTTCAGTAACATATGCACAATAATCACCACACTATATTCCACAGCTTGAAGGTTTCTAAATAAAACATATATTGTTCCAATACTAGACAATGATGGTATTATTAAAATTTTACTTTTATCAACTAAAATCACCAATCTCAGTAAGCAGAAACCCAAACAAACAAAAGAAATAAAACTTATCAAAATTGAAAACTCTTCTTTTCTTGGGTTAGAATACAGCCCTCCTAACCTCTAACTCATGTGCATCCGAATCACTGCTTAGTGCTTACTAACGTGTCGAAGGTAGCAAGCAACACCTAACACCGAAGCAGCACCAACAGCAGATCCCACCATTACCGGCCAATCCCTTTCCTTTAGACCACCAATCAAGCCCTTCTTTTCACCGTCGGCCACAATCTCCCTATTAAGACCACCATTAACACCTTCCATAATCAACCTTTCCTTCACCATCACTTCCTCATCCAATTTACTCTCCAACACCCCAATTTTCCCCTCCACTTGCACAACCTTCTTTTCCAATTCATTTTTCAACTTCTCCAATCCCACATTCTTTCCCACCACAGCCTCCAATTCCTCAACTCTCTCCTTCAAACCTTGAATCTCCTTTTCCTTCCCCGCCATTTCGTTCCTAAAATCACTCTTATTCTCCTCCAGTTCGCTGATTTTCACCACTAAGAAATCTCTCTCCTTCTCAATTGCTGCCAGCTTAACATCCTTCTCCTTCTCCTTTCCTTTCAACTCCTCCAAATCCCTTTTCACCTCTGATAACTCAACATTTGATTCTTGCAAATCACTCATCGCAGTTACCAAGTCGTGCTGCAGGCGGGCCACCTCAGCTTCCAGCTCCGCAGCTCGAGAGGCCACCGCCCCAAGAGTCCTGTTTTCAGATTCAGCACTTTCAACCTGTTTTTTCAACTCCACATTCTCTGCATCCGAATCTTTAACAGAGGCTGTCAATTCCTCAATCTTCTCCTTATACTTCTTGTTCTCGGATATTATCTTCTCACTTTCCCGTTCAAGTCCATCGATCTTTTGGCTAAGAACTGAAAGTTTGGACGAAGTTTCATCCCCGGCGATTTCCACAGTCCGATTATCGGAGTATTCACCGTTCATAATCGTCTCGTCCGCCATCAGAAATCCCTATAAAAGGAAAAAAAGTCATCAAAACAGATCAAAATATTACTCATCCCATCAAAACTCCAAAAAAAACTGAAATTGAAAAAACCCTAACCTGGGCTAACGCTATATTTTTTTTTAAAAAAAAATGAAGTAAAACTTGTGTAAATTGTTAACTGTGAGTGATATACGTTCTGCGAGAGCACCAAACAGAATGTCAAATATAACCTATGTTTTTTACTAATATTTAATTGTGGGGCTTTTCTGTTGATTTCAGATTTCTTGGGATAGAAATGGGACAATTGAATCTGTACCGTCGTTCAAGTGTCGGCTAATTGGCGCTTAGGATTGCAGAGTGATTAGGGTTTGCAAAATTGAAAAGATACTTTTGGGTGGTGGCAATGAATTCCGCGACGAGAGAAAAAAATAAAAAGGATTTTTAGAGATTGTTGGCAGCACGCGTGGGAACGACCTTTATGCGTGAGGAATATAATTAGCATAATTAGGAGGATCTATCCTTAAAAATAGAAATGATAAAAAAAAAAAAAAAGGGAAAATGGCAAGTGTATACACGATGGATGACATAATGTGATGTGGCAACCATCCTGTCGTTGATGTGATATTGTCAGATTTGAATTAAAGGTGTTGATCAATGTCACTTGCAATTATATAGACCATTATGTACTTGTAACATCACTAAAAAAAAAATGAATAATACTATATACTATGTGTACACTTTGTGGTGTACACAAGGCCTTACATCCCCCTCACATGGAGGGGGGCCCACAAATATTTTATTGTGCATGGGCACACCTCCGTGTGATGGAGGTATAAGGCCTTGTGTACACCATTGTGTATACATAGCATGGTCCAAAAAAAGAATGTGTTCGATCATTGCGTTGAAACGATGTAAAGAGTAAAGGTCGAACGTGTCATGAATAAATTGTTGGATTAAAACCACCTTTATATTTTTCTCAACTACATTCAGTCATCTTTCTTCTCTAATTTAGCGTAACTTTATTAAGTACTCTCTTTGAAAAATATCCCCTCTCCTTTAAGTTACAGTAACCGTCAAGTAGTAAATATATTTGAAAAATATCTCACTCATTTCATTGCAGTCATAATTTGATCTGACAACAAACGAGGATTTGCAGTAGTTTGTGATAAGGACATATACCAATGATGGCTATCACATATATTTCAGTTCGAAGTTATAAAACAGACAATTCGTTTCTTGCCATGACTATGATGTGCATCTTAATCAAGAGTTTAAAGCAAGGTTGTTCGTGAACGTGACTTCCACTGAACATATCAAGCTCGGCTGAGTTTGTGTTTCATGAGGAAAATTTACAATATGTATAAGACAAGGGAGAAGAGATCCATCACGGAGATATTGAAACTGTATCATGTCACCACCATTTCCTGACTCCCTCCCACACGAACTTTTAACAAGAATCTCAACTATAGAAAGTTGGCTTTAAAGAAGAAGACACCATAATGTATACATAGTTGTTTCACTACCAGATTGAATGATACCTAGGGCATGTTCGGCAGATATTAAAATCGGATTAATATTGAAAAATTAGTCTTTGTTGTTAACTTTTATTAGACGAGTGAAACCCAATAACGATTATATTTTCAATTTTAATTGAATTTTAAGTACGACCGAACACTCCCCTACTTTCTGTGAGCAACAACACCATATTGAGCTTTTGCTTGCAGTAGATCCTCAACAAGGTGGTTCAACTTCATCACTCCAGCTCGTATAGAATGGGTTGCTATCAATGTTAATGGCTATATCAGGATATAATTCGGGCATGGTGTTAAGAATTATGGTTCCATCTTAAAATGTCAACCTTATTAAGACGAGTAATTCAATCCTTTATAAGTTGATTTATGTTTACATCTTTATTCAATATGGGATTCCATATCTTAACATGCCCCCGCAAGATGGTTGTTACACCTCTTCCCTTATATAGTCAAAGTCAATGTCAAATTAGATTTAAATTGAATAAAAGATTTCTTGCGGGGACTAATTGGTAATTACTAATACTTGAAGGGGTAGTAATAATATATGTAGGAATTTAGGGAGTTAGTATATGTTATTAGAAATGAAATGGCTAAATAGAGTATGACAAGAAGATGGGGACTTAACCTTGCAATTTGGCCATAGTTAGCAATTCTTTTGACTTTATCTAGTTCATTCTCTTTCTTTGGGACTAAGGCAGTGAGAGAACAGAGACAAAACCGGCAAAGAGGAAAAAAAAAGAGAGGGAAAGGAAAGGAAAAAAAAAAAGAGGGAAGAAGAGAAGAAAAAGGGAAGGGAAAAGGCTACCATCTCCAAATTCTTTATCAATTCTTGAAGCAGGAGGTAGCGCAGAGATCGAGACAGCTTACCAACCAACCACATCGTCCCGTAAATAGTTTGTGAGTAGAAAAAACTTAAATATTTTCAAGTATTAATAATTAATTATACTATTATACATTTTATGCTATTCTGCGGATTATTGGTTCAATTACAGGATTAGTATAGAAATGTTCTTTCACTATGATATATGCTGAATTCAAATATTGTGAATGGATTATTTGTGAACTTGAAAGTGAGACTTCTCGGATGATCGCAAGGGTTGTCAGGGGATGTGCCTTTGGTGATCACGGGAG